AAATCGGGCTGTAATAATTGCGAATGATCTCGCTGCCTCGAGCGTTCCCCTCTTCGCTTAACAGCATAGTCCGCGTTATATAGCCGCGGCTACGAATTTATTAACATCTCGCAGAAATACAGCCTTATTTAAATGCGCGCGTGTATTTATGCAACAACGCAGAAATATACGAGGCCGGGAAGATCCACCCTTGCATCTTCTTCTTTTTCTTCGTTCTTTTTGTCCTCGACTTGCACCGAGTGCACACGCCCAACCGTCGACCAAGTTGTTCGATTATTGCACGGGAAACCCCAGTTATTTCTCTGTACCGTGTTTAATATCATCTAACATCTTCGATATATATAACTTCGATATTTTAATAACTTCAATTTTATTGTATTTTATTTCGAGATATATATATATATTTTTAATAACTTCAATTTTATTTTTCTGAAAGCAATAATACACTCTCTGAAACAACAATATTTCTGACAAAATGTGTTTACAGTAAAAGCTGTTAGCTAACATGTGACAGAATATTAAATCAACTTTTGAAAGCCAATAATTACGATAATAAAGTTGTAAAGCTACTGTACTACTTGGGAAACTTTTCACGTACCGAGAGCAACATTAAGAAGCCTAATTGGTAGTTGTCGGAAAAAATGGTAATCGCACGAAAGGCGTCGAAACGATGTTGAAACGGTGTGCCAATCCCCAAAGGATGGTACTAAACCAATAGATAAAACACTACTTTATTTTCTCAACGAGCAATCGATGAAGCTCCGCACATATCGCAATGAAAGTCAACTGTTATTGCTACGTCTACTGAAAAAAGGTTTCAGCGAGATGCCTGTTATAGCAAAGGCCTTAATAGCCCATGGAAATCTGCTTGTAATACCATAGAAGAGCCGACCTCGTAAAACTGCGAAAAATTTCTAGCCGCTAATACGGAATTATCGCGGAGTCTATAATAACACGCGGTTGGCAGGATGTATATCTCAAAAAAGAGCCGACAAGAACTTCATCTATATGCAAAGAAAAGGGCACTTGCAGCGCGTGGTCTACTTTTAACCGAGATATACGATACGACGATAGCGACGTTTGCAACTCACGCTGCTTCTAAAATAACCGTCGAGAAAATGGACAGTAAGGAAGTGCTTGCACGATGGCTCGCAATATTTTTTAGTCGAAGAAACCGTGTACGAAGAAACTTCGATTGTACTTGGTGAGAATGAAAACACGGAAGACAACAAAAGAAGCTTCCAAAATAGCTTCAGAAATTGAAACATAAAACTTTCGAAGGCTGTTCAATGGTAGAAGGATGTTTAACTTCGGAGGATGTTCAGTGAAAGATACGTGGCAAAAATGGAACGAAGAAGTGATGTCAGTATAAGTTTCGACATTCACGACGTCAATGAGGAGTTACGGGGCGCCACGACGCTTTTAACTGCCATTGTACATTTTCGAGATAAGAGGTTAATTCTACAAGTTGACAATACGAGAAGGTATTTCGATACTGCACTACCGTTTGCATTATTCTCCTCGACGAAGCCACTATTGTTCGACGGAAGCGTATATCTATGCTGTCACCGTCAGTCTTAGAAAGAATACACCTTCGACAGTTTCCACGATGAAAAAAAGAAAAAAAATACGAACGAGGACTGTGTGCAATAGAGAAGGCTAAAATATGAATGAAGAAACATGCAAATGATTGGAATTGATTCAATCGACGTGAACTTCGTAACACCGTTCTAGGAAAATTTGAATAACATTTGAACATAATCGAACATTCTGCACGGAAATCATATCAATTTTTCAATAGAAAAATTTCCTTCAGAGTTTGAAAGTTACGAAATTACTTACAGAATGGACCCAATATTTGGTTCAGGAAAAGATATAGAATTGTATTTAAATTTACTCGGTTGATTGCAAACGATTGTAAAACCTCGAAATATTAGGTATGTACACAGCAAGAAAATTCTATCGTTCTACTCTGACATAAGTAATCTTGATGATCTAACAGCAGAACTTCGCGCTCGTTTATCATTTGCACGGCTCAACGTTTCCCTAGACAGTCAGTCATACAGGTTATCTTTCTACGATTGATTACTTGTCAGACTGATCGACAGAGCAGAAAGTGACAAGACGAAATTGTCCCACGCGGTGCGCGCAACTCCCATCATGATCGAAAAAAGAACGTTCGGATAGAAATGGTATTACATAGGGGAACGAAGTCGTATCATTGTACGATGTTGCCGTACTGCCGGGCACTGTAAATCTCGCGGTCTATAGAACTCGAAGAAATCATTAATGTGGGACGGCAGTATATTGCTGCTAATATAGCGCAGCACACCCTTTTAAGCTTCGCTCCGTACAGAGAGATATACAATATACAGAGTGTATCTCGGATTAATCGATGATCTCGCAGCGAGCTTAGAGTTTCGCTAATAGAAGTTGAAAGGCTTCTGTCTTTCAAAGGTACAAAGAAGTGGGAATTGAACGTAATTTGTTGAAAATACAATTTGCTTGAATTTTCTATATTTTTAATCGATTTTCTTTTACTTTATGCTAGATTGAAACTGACGAATCAGTATATAATTTACAAAGTGATTTATTAAAAAAAACATATGCACCAACTTTGAATAATTGAGTCTGTGGTAAATTTTAATACAATCGATTAATATCATAGAAAATACTGTGGTTATAGTTTCTTCTAGTTTTAATATACAATAGATATTAAATCATCATCTTCGTTTTCTATTTGAATATTTGAAATGATGAATTCAATTCAAATTAGTTCGGATCTCTTTTTTTTGTTTTTGTAAATTTTGTATATCACTTTATATATTATTTTATTAAATATATATAAATTTATGAAGAAACAAAGAGATTTTCCAACTAGAAATTCAAAATGTTAACGCCGCGAGACGGTTGCGATGTATTAAAAAAATTATATATGTATAATTTTTAATATCTGTATGGAATCAGATAGACAAAGGTATATTCAATCAGTATGAAGAAATTTATTGTCTTATTTTTCGACATTTATGATTGCGGACAAACGACTCGCCCGTTTTTTTTTTTTTTTTTCTATTGACAAGAAATCTATTGCGCCCTATCGCGGTTATTGTACGTTTGTTGTCAATTTCTGTCATTGACCCCCGCGGGTCTATTTTATTAAGTGTGCTGAAAGAAACAATCGGCGTCAATCCTTCGATCGACGTTTGATTTTCGCATTATTTGAACGAGTTACGTTAAAACAATCAACTATACTTTGAAATAATTGGCTAGCCAACTTCCGTAAAACAGACTTGCAGGCAACCAAGACTTCGGTTTACAATATTTAACATACAATCGACTATTCGCGAGATCTCGAGAATCAATCAGGATTCCAGATTTCTTCACGAATCAGTATTCACTTCGCGATATCGAGAGACAAATCAACATCATTAAAAGCCTTTACACTAAAAATTATTTACGTATATATAAATTAGAGCTTCATTTCGAATATTTATTCATTAACAATACTACAAACGATCAAACAAATGGCTAATATTCCACGAAAATTCAAATTACTATTGTAATCACATTACTGAATATCTACTCCATTTTCTGCGGAAAATTACATACTCAATATTTTTTGATGATACATAGAACGATGTCGATCAATTTGTAATACAGTTAGCACCTAAAGCACAAAGGCGAAGACACGTTAGAGATTCTCGAGTGTAAAGATTCTCGCCTCAGGTGACTACAAAAAGAAAAGCGTAGAATCGCAGTAAATCAGTGTTAATGGTGCTATAGTCAGATCTTGCGAGTCAAGCGACGAGCAAAACATCGTAACCAAGAATCCTTCGCGTTCCATGCATCAATAATAATTTAATGCCGGAACTAACTATCGCAAAGAATATCGTAGAACGCCTCTATTCTCGGGATATGAAGCTCAATATTCGTTAAATATGTCTCACGAAGCAAGCACTTTAACACCTCGAATGTTTTATGTTTTTAATGCACAGTATGGCATTACCTCTACAAATTTTCGCCTTAAGTATCCCAATGACTAATTTAACATCTTCCTTTTTGTACTAAAAATCGAGAATTCATTATTCACAGAAAAGCAATTTCTTTAACTTTCTATTATTAGCAATTTTTATGTTTACAAGAAATTCTAATCTCTTTGTAGGTGTTGAATATAAAATCTATACTTTTAAAATTTTTGGAAGCGTGTAACAGAATGGAAACTGAAAAAGACTATTAATGGAATATCATGTTTTAAATCGCAATATTTTTACATGCTATAAATCTATATCAACTTTTACAGGTACTGTTACGAGAAGCAACAAATCTTCCATTTTAGTACTACCGCATTTTATGATCTATCAAATAAAATCAATCAAAATTCATGTTTCTTGCAACATTCGCACTCGACTAATGTTTTAACATTAGTACATTTTATACGCAATATTAATTCGATGTTCATTGATGTATATTGGTGAATATATTATAATATACAATATACTAAAATATATTATAATATAATATAATACATAATACATTATTATACATATTATATATATTGGTGGACCTCGTACATTGACATTTTACCGACTGGTAGCCGATTAATAGGCTACCGGTCGGTAAAATGTTAATTCTAACGTCACGTGTAAATTTAAGAGAATGTCGCATGATAACAAAAATGTAATTTAATTTCAGGTATGGAAAAACTACAAAACCATTTTGGAGTTCGTTGAGGCAGGGTTGGGGTTTCTATGCGGCATGTGCCTTGCTTTTAAAAATGCAATGCCCTTCGAAATCCCAAAAATGTCCAACGCTTGTCTACGTTGCGAGAATAAAGGGAAATGCTAGTCGACGATTCAATTTATCGACAATTATTATATTTGATATTTAGCAAATGATTTTACTAACGCACATTCTCTCATCCAGCAATAAACAGAACTAAGACAATCTTTGCTACAATTGATCACAAACATATAGAAAAACGTATAAAAGGCGTGACTCACCGATTTGAAATCCTTCTCTAGCAAACGTACACGCGGGAAATTGACGGAGCTTCTGCGTAATGGCGTCGTATCGATGTTTTCGCTGTCTTGATTATGAGAACGGCGAGAGTCCAATAACATTCTTCGCATTTTGAATAATCGTGAGTCTTTATCCATACATGTAGATTAACCGTATATATTGATGTAGATCGAAATGATCAAAAAAGAAAAAAAAAGAAAAAAGAACACATACACATGACTAGAAACAATATCGACAATGACTAGGAATTTCACTAGAAATTTATGATGGAATTATCTCACTGCATATTTGCTTGGAAAACCGGGTGTCAAATACCTATTTTGCACGATACACGATAAATAAATCTTTCAATAAAGTCTACATTGTTCGATAAACGTTCAAAGAAACCGTTGTGCCGGCAACAATCGAACTGACCAAGTGCTGCCAACTGAAATGAGCCACGCGAAAACGAGCAACCTTTCAAATACGAACCGAATTCACAATTACAGCTGTTTTGTCGTTCGGTAGCGAATCACTGTTTAAACTTTAAATATTAAATTACGTTTTAACAGGCACTCGATTAGGTAATTGTTAACGTTGAACAGAAATCTTTGTAGAATTGTAAAATTTTAGGAAAAGGCAACGCGTTCCGGCTCGCGCGGAGCGTGGCGTGCGACTAAATAGAATTTAACAACGTACGTCGCGACGTACGAGGTCGCGCGAATATTCGAAATGTAAACATATACGTGAGTTACGTCGAATTCCAAGAAATAATATTTCCTAAGGCTGTTTATATCTCCGTTTACACGAAGTAAAGTCGGAGAACAAATAAAAGTCTGTTCAACACTGTTTACTGTTAATCGAATATTTCCCACAGTGTTATATGCCAAAAAATGATTATTACAGAAAGTCATTCTATTTTCATCAAGTGTTATATGATGTCCGTGCTGTATATGAATTATTGTAGATATTATTTTTAAGTTTTATGGTTTTTAATAAATCAATTTATAAGTAACGTCTATGTATGTAATTTTTAAACATTAAAAATTGGGTTTTATCGATCGGAACGACATAATGTATCAATTATTTAATAAGAAATATATTATAGTTAAATATTAAATGTTTAATACAATTATTTTGTACACGAATAACTATTTTCAAGACCTTCGTCTTATTAAATTCTTTAATTGAAATCATTTTAATAATATGTCGTAATAATCGAACATTTAATTGATGTATACTAATAATAAACTTAACTAAGAATAAAGTGAACAAAATAATAATATCCAATAATATCCAATTATTCTCTTTCGTCTAATCTTCGTAATGTTTTATTTAGTACTTAATCCTTATGATTAAAGCAAAATTTTATCCTTAAAGATATCGATTCTATACTGTCCAATCGCTGGTTATAAATTTCGACTGGAAATTCAAAGTAAATTGTAAAATAAGAAAAAAATATTACTTATGAGTATAATCTGGGAATTTAATTGCTGCGTGTAAATTGATATCATTCACATATTATAATAATATGTCCTGACCAGAACACACACATAACATATTAAATGCCATTTTATTGCTTCCACAAACTCCGAGAAATACTCGGTTGTAAATATAATAAAATATTTCGAATGCAAATCATACATGAGCCCAAACGTTTATGATACCTGAACCTTTAAATTTCTTATTAGTTTAGTTATTAAAGTTCTTGAACAATTCGAAACTGCATTACAGAAAGCGATACAAATATATTAACGGATCTTAAATAACATTTTTCGTTAGTTAAGCAGTCCATAAAAGTAGTATTTATTCGGTAGTATCTTAATGAACTTTGGACGAGACATTTTTCATGGAAATGAGATTAGTACATAAATATTAATTTATTTTACTTGTTGGTGAAAGTATTTCGTAGCAAAGTATAACATTGGTTTATATACATTTTACGATATCATGAACATATGAACCTATGTAAATTCGAATTTTTCTGAGATAACATTACTTCTCCAAATGTACTTATATACATAAATACTTCTTTTCCAGGAGTATCAGTACTTTCTTCTAGGGAAAAAATAGTTACGGATTAAATTCTTATATACATGTAAATTGGCATGCAAATGAGGTGAAGAAATTAATTCAAGAAATTAATAATACGATAAAATCTCGATTCATTTGCAGCCAGTGTATCAATTCACTTATTATGACGCATTGATAATAGACTACACAGTCTGCTGTTATACGAAAAATAATTCGTTAAACTTGTATATCTATTCGAGAACTATATACTTAACAATATAAAGCAGTTCCAATATGAATTGAATGCACATTCGGCTACGCATGTAATTCACAGGTCGTAATATATTTGTATTCAGTGAAAAAGTTTGATTGTCACCTACATAATTCACATTTTATCAGAAATATATTTCACAACGTTCAAAACAACGTGAAGAAAAAATAGCGTTAATGTTTGATTCTGGATATCAAGCTTTACCATTTTAATCTAGAAATTAAATGAAACGAGAAAATCAACTTCTACAGTTAATTTTTTTTTATTAAATGATTTCGTGCTTTTAAGTGAGTAAAAAAGAAATATGCTGCGTGATTTGATTCATCGATGGCATTACAAAATAAGAAATGATACAATAAAATATCGTCAATTTGTTTCAGCATTTCTCAACTTTATTCACCGCCACTCCAGCGGACGATATGTTAAAATCTGAGACTTGGCTCTTTTGAATAATGCTACTCCCAGTCAGCTTGAGGAAACAATGCCGGCTTCGTTTTTTGTGCAGCATCTATATGGTCCTTTCGCTTCCGACGCCGTTTCCCTGTGCACATGACAAAAAGTCGGTTTATGCGCAACGACATAACCCTTCGAGTTTATTAATTAACACTAATATTTAATTTTTAATCAAATATATCCTAAAGATATATATATATAATAATATTTATTACAAAAAGAAAAGAAATTAGCGCAACACAAAGATAAAAAGAATTATAAAATGATACTATGAATATTGCTATCACACAGCTGAAAAATAAAATAAAATTTTTTAAGATCCTACAGTAAAAATGGAAAGAAATATTTGAAACAAGTTTATTGTATATTTTGTAATTTGTAGTAAATATTACGGATCGGTACAAATTTAAATAAAATTCAAATGGATTGTTCAAAAACAGCGTAGCAATACAATTTTAGTTATCAATTGGCAAATTGATAAGTGCAATCTGCAAAATAAATAAAAATAAATATTTTCAAATAATCCATATAAATCAAAAAACCACCACCATTTGTCTAATATCGATTACAAATGTTTCTATGATTACAATTCTACAAATTTTTTTCTGTGATTACAAATGACAGTAATTTTTACATACGACGCAACTTTAAATTATTTCTCATTTGTTACCTTAGTAATATAAACCGTATAAATTTACGTCTTTTAAGCATTATTAATTCAGTTATTGTATGAAATAAGTTTCAAATACATAAGTTTCGAGCGACGTATGTATAAGTTTTCTTTCTCCCCCCCCCCCCCCCAAATGAGATGCAATAGTCTCATATCTAAAAAAAAGAGTGTAAAAGTTTTCTTAAATAAAATGTAAAAATATAAATATAAAAAATTTCCAGCTTATAAAAATACCTTAAAAACGTATTCTGATAAATAACTTTCTTATAAAAACACGTACACCCAAACGCACGAAATACTTTTAACAACAACAATTATTTGTAAAAATTTCAAGACGTAAAATTTTATAAATCAAAAATTCTAATGGAACTTCTAATGTATTGTCATGTTTAGCTCCGACTTTAATTATATTATATTAGAATTATAAATTGTACATAGTATCCTCATCAAATAAAAAAATTCCACAAAAATAACTATATGGAACATTAAATAGAAAATTTAAAAAAAAAAGTGTAAAACAAAAGTCCATTCTTATAATGTAGATTTCGGTTGTGAAATAAATACTTTCTAGAAATATCTGATCAAAACTATTTATGTTTTAAGTAGAAACAAGTTAAGTAGATTTAAGGAACTGACGATCGAATACCAAGCACGGTCGGTTATTGCTCAGTTGTTAACAGCATTCTTCGGGACTCGGAGAAAAATCACGTTTCGCCGCCTTCGGTCCATCTTAACCTCGATATAATAAAGAAAAGAATGCTAAAACAAATTTTTGCCAATATGATGAGCAGACGTTTTCCTTTGCCAGTTGATTGAAAAGACCATTTTGAATCATTGTGTTTCTTACTGTCTGGAAGATATTTTTCCTTATTAAGCCCAAAGGTATTTTTCGAAGTATATGATTTTTCCACTATGGGTTTTGTCTTCGATTGCTTTTTGGTGCGAATTTTTAGATCAGCCGAAGGCGACGAAGAAACTCTAGACGTTTTCTTCGAGAACCCGACTGGATTTTCATTTTCTTTGTACTTCGTCGATTTTCCCTGAACCGATTTGTACGAACTGATACCGATTGATTGATTGGTACACCTGTTGGAATTAGATTTCTTCGTTTTTTCCAGCTTGCAGTTATGAGAGCCTGATATCAACGAATCGCAACGATTGGCTTCAGCCGTGCTTGACAACCGAATTTCAGTCTTTTTAGAAACTTTCCTCGCATCGTCTACCTTGCAATCGTTATCGGTCTCCGCGTTTCTTTTCAATATCGTGTATTTCGGTACTGCGTCCTTCTTTCGATCGTTCCGGAAATCCGTGGGCAAACTAAAGCTGTTCTTTAATCTTTTCTGCACGACCTTCATTTGCTCGAGTAAGAGCATCTCGACGGCCTCGTGATTACTTCCACGGGGCCTCGACGTGGCTCTCGATCGTTCATGAGGATAGGAGCAAGGGATGATGGACTCTGATGATAATTCGAAGTCATTACCTGTGGCTACTTCCCAGCCATCGTCGTCCTTAGTAGACTTCACGCCGTTCGTTGGCACCGAGTTTTCCCCCTTTTTCGTCGAAACCGCCCTACAATATAGAAACGACCAAAATGGGTCACGTTCTCTTTGTCATATATGTACATATGTATTCAAATTCTATGTTTTGAAAGATGACTAGACACAGAATGTTACTGATAAATTCGATAAATGCCAATAAAGAAATTTATTTCGCGTAGTAACGTATTTAGACTATCGCAAAATCTGGCAGTTTAGTTAATTAATAAATTACTATCATTACAATTAATTAATAGTAAATTAGTGTTATTAAAATCAAGCATGATTAATGAAGTTGACTGATAGATCAAATAGTTTGTAATTTACGCAGTACGTTTCTTTCATCTTGTCGATATTCAGGTGAACAAAACAAAAGAAATATCCTGGAGAGAATTTGTCTCTCTCGACCATCGGAATCAATGTCATTATTTACAACAATCGAATTAAATAGCGCATACGATACTATTATGTATAATATGTAAAAACAACTAAAAACGAATCAAAGTTAGATTCTGTTATTCGTTACAATCAATATATATATTCATACAACTGTTCTGTCGTGTACTTGTCTGACTCTTGCAAAATGTTAAGGTATTTAAAATTTGCCATATCCACACACGTTCGAAACACGTTCGCATATTTAATAAATTATACGTATTTACACACGCGTAGTAACACGCCAATCTTTCTCACGTATACGTACGATTATGTACAGAATCGATCGAACACGCGCGATTATTGGTCAAAATTTGCACACTCTGGAAAGAAAATAAGATCAATCGCCTTTGATCGTTCAACTGCCGAGCATTAAGAAGTGGGAAGAATTTATTCGGTGCACGTGTTGAAGCTTGCCGCGGAAATGTTGTTGCAACTACCGTAGCCACAACTTATAAATATGCAGCATCACGTGCGTGCATGCAGAATGCATGTGTGTACATCGTCGTTAAGTATGGCCGATCAGTGCAAGAATACCAGATATCCTGTCAACTGAGAATTTTCTTCCGATGCGTGTTTTTCGCGAGCATCAACCATGTCGCTGACTCGAATGGCTGAAGTTAACGAGTCTTCGAATCGTTCTTCCTCTCTGCATTAACGACCCTAACTTAAGGTACGCTTTACTCAAGATATTCGATAGATGAAACCGCGTGAATTTCATATTTTTATGCTTTTATTTTCATTCTTGAACAGGTTCCCGACGAAAGCTACGATCATGTGCTACGTGCATGTAGTCTTAAATGGTTGTCGTAGCAAGGGTTCAAATACGAACTGCTGTAAATATGAATTTCAGGGAATTTCGTTGTTTTCGTTGAACGTCAAACACATGAAACAACAGGTATATTATAAATCATTCCATTTTATTAGAATATTTCATTTACGACTAACACGTCGGTTTTATTGCATCTCTTCCAAACTGTATAGCGAAGCGATGCCCCATCGTGCGCGTTGCCCCGTTAAAATTTATCCTTTGGAAAGGATTTAAATGAATTCTGCAACAAAATGTTGCAATCGTATGAACTATTAACCACAGGTATTAACATCAGAGTTAAACATCAATTACAATTAAATTGTTCGTCATTTACGTATGTGCTGTTAATTACAATATATAAATTCTTGATTGCTTCGAAAATGATAAGAGAGAAGTTTTTAACTTAATAAATGTCATAATTAAAAGGTCAACGCACCGTCAGGATACAGAAATGAAGAGTCTCGATCGTTGTCACGAACGAGGAAGGAACCTTCGTATCCTTCGAATAAGTTCTAGCGCTTTTTTGTGGAAGTATTCCTGGCCCATCGACAAGTTCCTGGCAGTGAACCACCTATGAGATACACGCGGTCAAACAACTGCTGGCAACATGATATTGATAAGACGCGTCCACGTGCCCGACCGATTTACTCATAAGTTTCGTCATTCCGTGTAACGATAACTGCATTATAACTACAAACGCAGCGAGCAACTCTTGATCGTTTTATTAAATTCGGTACCGAAACTTTGAACTTCGTGTAGCGGATACGTTACGTATCTCGTATCTGTATAAACATCCGCGAAAGCATTGAATAACCAGGAATTCAATGCATGTTCGAATCGAATTATTTCACGACATTCCGATTATTATTCCGAAACTAGATATCCCCATTCGCGTTCGCCGGTTAATGCATGCGAACGTGTCTCGAATCGAGTCAACGTATTGCGTGTAAAGGGATGTAAGTCGTGTAACGGTCCTTGTAATTTTTCAGGCATTTGTAATCATGCGATGAAAACATCGTCGATGAAAGTTTACGGGGAATCGGTTTAAATTTGTTGGATAAAATCATATGATTTTCTTTCCTGGTAAAATGTTCGTTCATATTTATATAATAAAGAACATCGAGTTTACGCGTGAAATAATCGTGCATTATGAAATAGTAAATAGAAAGACTTGGAAGTTTTTAAGCAATTTTTCAACATTAAGAAAGAACTGCGAGTCTACTTAAAAAAGTAAAAATTTTGTAATAAGATTATCCCTCCTCATCCCTCTCGTCAAATTAAGATTCTTGGAATTTTCTTTGAAATTCGAAGAGTTATGCAAATCTTTACAGCACAATTTAAAATAGGTTTATGATAAAATAATAAAGACGATTCAGAAGTAACGCTAATTAGATAGATAATACTGCCGAGTGTATGCACTTTGAAAGAAAAGGCAGCGCCACGGGAAAAAAATTGCAAAGAGAGAAAGAAAATTCGAAGCATGTTAAACTCGTTACAGCCGCGATCCCGAAGGCATAATCCAGATAGAGACTCCGTGTTCGGATACAGGACATACTGGCTGCTCGAAAGTATTTGCATTATGCATGGAAATCTAGTACCTCCTGCTAGGTCTACCTTTTTCAAACCACGAACATTATCTTGACGTATAAAAATATCATCGAATATCCTCCTGAAACTATTAGACGCCGACACTGTTTCCAACAGATATAAAACATCTTGCGTTTTCAGCCTTGCGTTTTCCCTGTCACGTCCCATTTAACACGTCTCACTTAGAAAATGCCAACAGAAAATTGTAACTCCATCATGGATTTACGTCGCAACGGTTAGAACGATTAAAGCAGAATTTTATTTCTGATTTTTTACTCACGAATTAATCACAAGCACTTTTTTTTTTTATTTAGCTCCTTTAGTTAAAAATTATGAAATCAACCCGTGCCCACCAAAATAAGATTCAATCCGTTCGATTATTTAAATTATACTGAGATGGTACTCGATGGTACTCACCAGCGTTATCAACGTCTTCTCCAATAGCAAGCCATTCCAATTTATCGCGAGCACCGTTGAATTTTGATCTTTCTCTAATTCAGCGCGCTGGAAGATGCTATTGGCTAGAACGGTCGGATCCATCAGTTTCGCGGTAGGTAATTACGCGAATGGTTGAACACGGTAACCAATTTCACAGCAATTAATATACACGCGTGCAGGAAAGACATTTTTTCAACTGTCTTTAGTTTTAGTCTTTACTGGCGAAACGTACGAGGCATATGTCGAAATTTATTGAACAGCCGCGAAAATATACGGCTTTGTTACTGAAAAAATACAAAGCGCCGATGAAACAATAAAAGTCATCGTTACGGTTGCCGTTGTTTCGAAAAGAATATGCTTGAACGCGTCCTCTTCCGCGCATGATTCGCGGATCCCGTTAGAAATCTCCGTCTCGCGGCTGAATAACCATTTCCGCGAGGTTTGATCTGCCTGATCGATCGACGTAATAAAAATACCCCACCGTTGCTACAATGTTAGTGTCGTTCGTACCGTTTGCCGCGCGGCGACGAGCATGAATTTATTGCGATCTAGGGTCTGGTACCAACCAGGCCCAAGTATACGTCTAATAATCTCTTTAATAAACGAATCATCGTTGCAATAAATAATATTTAATAAGCGCGCTACGTGCGACTTCTTTCTGGTAAGTAATCTAGCCAAGCTAGAGGGTTAATGTCCAGCCGGTTGATATTAATAGCTTAATGCAAAGCCGCGAGATGATCCGCCTCGTAAATCTTCATTACTTGTCGCGAATTACTTCGATTCGCGGTCTGTCCATTGAAATCAGCAGGGCTAGTTACCCGGTCGGATATGCAAAGTGATCAACAGGCACTTCGTCACCACTGTTCCTTATACGCGGTCGGAGAAAAATTTTAATTACACAGGCGGGAGTAATGAGATACTGCCGTCTCCTTTCGTTCGCGGTGCAAATTGCAATTCCAAGCTGATAATACGTCGCGCGATTGGTTTTATCAACGCTCGCGGAACGCCAACATTCGCTCAATAAGGGGTGTTACAGTTTGGGATATCGATCGAAAAGATTTTTTCTTTTTTCTTTTCAGATAAAATTGCAAAGAGAAGGCTAGCTCAACGTACTTTGTTTCTTTGCTGCGATTCTGTTCGTAGGTGATAGTAGGTAATTGAAGACACCCTCTGAAATAAGTCGAACAGAAACTGAAACTTGCTTTTAACAGCAATCAAATAAAAAAATTCATTCGTCGTTTTCATCGGGTCTAATTCACTTCAGCGTCGAATCGCTCGACTACCAGAACGCATCGTCTTTCCAGCTAAATGGGAACAAACGAGTCAGGTGACAATAATAAACAAGAGTGATCAAAATTAATAAAGCATGAGGCGCGTCGGCGAGCTCTCTCTCTCTCTCTCTCTCTCTTTCTCTCAGCTGCGGCACGCGAACCAACGTCGCCGATAAATTACTGGCGGCGCACAGTGTTTCCGCGTGACACGAAAGCTTCGTCCAAAGGAGAGGAGCTTCTCGTGCACACGGCCGAGAGAGGAAAGCAGGGCCGCGAGAACGCGGCACGAGATAAAAGTCGCCGTGCGACACAGAAGCAATCCGCGATGGTGTTGGCGCGCGTTTGTCGAGTGATGCATTGGTACCGGCAAGTGATATATGCTTATGGGGCACGCCGGAGTACCGGACACGCGCACGCACACGCGCACGCAAGACCACGTAAAAAAAAAAAATAAAAAAAAAACACGTCCGGTTACGGCGTGTTCATTATGTACTCTAGCGAATCATAAAACAGACGTGAAGAGGAAGGGGGGCAAAAACGACGGATTAAAATCGCGGAGAATTTTCCGACTAGTGCCTCCTCTGAGCAGACACGGTTGGAGAAATTGCACGCGCGAGCGAGCGTGCATGTGTGCGCGCGTGTGCCTCGAGGTTGCGACTTTTCCGATCGATATGATTTAAATGGCGTTTTAAGAAAGCGAGATGCACCGCGAGGGGAAAAAAGACGCACGGGCCGGTATGTACGACTGAAATTGTAATTTATACGGCTATTACCGGGCCACACGTTGACCATTATAAATTGTCGCTGTATCTGCCGGCGCGTTCTTATTTATAGTTGGCAAATAAATGCCGCGATAATGCGCCGCGTCCAGTCGGCGTATTTGCGATTCTAATAGCCGTGCATTTAGCACGCCGCGGTACGTTCAGGTAAACGCGAATGACGCATGGGCGAGGGTAATTAAGCAATTACGGGGGTACAATGTTCCTTGTCGCTCTGAGGAGAATGAATGTTCGCGTGCCGTCCCGGAATTGTAACAAGGAAAGTGATTTTGTGTGGAATTAAGTTCGTGTAACTTGCGCGCAGGAGGAGAGTTCATTTTGCGGAACGAGTCAGTAAATATGTAAATGGTTAAAACTTATCAATCTCTGGCCCGTTGTGACTTCATTAAAAATTGAACTTGCTAGGACGAATCGGTATTAACGAGAGGCATACAGAGTTATTAAAATTTGTATTTGTAAATTATACTGAAATTAACATTTTATAAAATAGCAGTGCTAAAACGAGAACTATTCATTTATAAATTTTTTATCATTCCACAAAATTCAATATACAGGTATCAATTTCAAAGACAGAATCAGATCACACGTCTTCGACAGAAGAATACGGAGATTCAACAAAAATAGCAACAATAATTAGAACATATTTATTATTGAAGATTATTATTTTATGCGGTATATATTAATGTATGATGTTGATAATTCAATGTAGTAATTAAATACTAGATACGTACAGAAAGAACAAAATAATGAACCCAAGGATCCGAAGTAGTTAGACTATTAATGTATGTGCAGTAATTTTTTTTTTTTTTTTTTTTCAGTAAAGAAATGTATCCTTCTATTCCAATTTGAGAAATCACCCGCAGTGGCTGTCCACGTATCTGATCTAACTGATTCATACGCGGGCATTTGCATTGCGGTCGCGTCGCCGTCGAGAGACAAGACACGTTATTCGAAGCATGTTGCATTATTCTAATCAAGACTCTAATACCAAAGAGCTTTTGCTTTTATTCGCACGTGGGCAATGCGGCTCGTTTGTACCCGTAATGAGCGCGATTGGCCACTATATGCCAATCGATTCGATTCTACGGACGGTTTCGAGCTATCTTTTCATTCGAACAAACCATTATCTTTCTATTATTTAAGAGAAATTTGAAAAAATTGAATTAGATTAGTTGACTAGATGATCATATAAGTATATATGACTTATAGTATCGAAATAATTGAATTAGAAGAATTAGGAAAATTAATTTTCGTTAAATACATCTTTAAATGTGTAGAGATAAACGCAGAGGTAAAAAACATAATTTTACTCCATTCTTAACTTCTATGATCTCATTAAAAAGTTAAAATTGACGTATAATCTCTCAATAATGCAAGCAACATTCTTTCATCAGATAATTTACGACCTATCAGAAACACATAATGAAGAAAGTTCAAGTTACTATGTAGTTGCTAAAGTGCTTCTGTCTAACATTATATGAAACAACATCAATTGCCTCTTTCGATGCCGTCCGTGAATCTAGTGGATTCATTAATCACAGCTTAGAAGTCATTTTTCAATATGCATCGATCAATTTATTGCCAGATCGATATTCGATCGGCGCATCTAAGTCCCGTCGACAGAAGCGAGGAACACTGATTTACTAGCGACCTTAGCTTCGTGATCAAGAAGGAACGAAGTGGCAAAGGAGTGGACGAAGAAAGGAGGAGCATTGAACGAACGAAGAGGAAGAGAAAAAAGAAGAGTAGAGGCGGCGGCGACAGGAGAAAGAGGAAGTCAAGACAAGCGTGTAACAAGCGTCGCTGGCATTAATTTAGAATGAGCTCTACGACCCTATGCAAATTTCTCGTGTACAGGAAATCCTAAGAAGTCGACTATAGTATGAGACGTGTTGCCTCCCTCTGTTCATCCACTTCAGCCGCTTCTTTCCTCTTTGCGGCAACTACTCGCTTAAAATTATCATCGCACGGGCGAGCGCAACTTATTCCACTAGTAATGCGTTAACTCTTACTTTTAACCTATGAAATATTACTTCCTGTCAATGTTTAATATCCCGCATCTCGCGACATCAACGATATCATCTTTAGTAGATAACTTATGACCGTGATGAACTCTGAATGATGTGCCACTCGTCGCCATCGCTATGTCGGGTTATCGAGAATTCCATTATAGATGTTTTCGATAAGCGATGAAATTAATCGACAGAAATTGAACATGAACGAGTGAAATGTGTGATCGAGAAAGGGTAAATCAATGAAACAAGAAGAAAAGTCACAATTACAAAGAAGATGAGAAATTAACGACAGAAACTATCAGCGGATTATGTCAATACGATGTGGTGGAACATTACATCTGCATAACGTGTCGTCTTGCGTGTTCAAAATTATGAAGAAATCGGATTTACGTGTAAAATTCATATGAAATGTGTATAAGTTGCTTAACATAATGAGCTAAATATTCTCTGCTCATCTGAACATCACATACGTGAAGTTAGAAGGCAGACAGTTAAAGATTATTTAAAATAAAGATTATTTAAAACAGTTAAAGATTATTTAAAATAAAAAAGAAAAATTTAATGTGAAAATGAATCATTATAAATGAAACCTTTGATTCCAAATCCTAATATATGACAAATAATATGTAATTGTACTTACTCGGATGAGGATAATTTTCGTTTACGATCTCCTGAACGGACGGCTATCCCTAAAGAAGCTTGGTAATCAGCGTACTTTTGTATCTTGTAGGTATTCGTTTTACCTAGAGATTTCATTACTGCGTTAACTTGATCTCTACGATGTAATCCTATGTACGCAGACGTGTCGTTTAACCAAGATACTTGTACTCCTCCTGTAATATCATTATATCGATCATGTCAAAATAATGAGATTTATATAAGTGAAAATAGTTACATATTAAGTGAATGAAAGAATTCTGCAATTGTATACATACCAAATGGACTAAACAATTGATTTATATCGTTAAACTTCCATTCTTTTGGGAATGTCATATGAAATATATGATCTCTATTTGGATTAGCTAAAAATAAATATATATTAATGGCATAAAATTTCACTTAAATATATGAACAAAAAGGTGAGATTTGAAATAATACTTACGATCTTCTCCAACTAAGTTTATATATGGGATATCTTTCAATCTTGCTATAAGAAGTCTGTAACAAAACTATAAATTAAATACTATTCTAAGCATATTAAATATCACAAAACCTACCTATTTAGGAAAGGATTGAGTAGCGGTGAATCCGACAAAACTATCGGCACTTCGGGGTTTTGTAAGGAACCTGAAAAAGAAAACATATAGCAAGAGGAAATTACAGATAGATAAAATTCTTAGGATAAAATCATGTTAATTACTAACCAAGATAATTAGACAATGCAATGAAACATATTCCAGTTATATATGCATCATAACCAGCCTCGTGACATTTATCTGCCAATGTAGAATAACTTCTACCCTCGACAGATTCCACTTCTGTAATTTTAAACGGTGATTTACTAACTGTTTCTAGCAACACACTTAAATTCGACGATGGTACAGTTTCCTTGAATTGTTGCGAATGGCAAATTATTTTTGTATCTAAAAGTCTATAAAAAGAAATCATATAGTAATCATATTTATTGAGATTTATAAGTTCAAGAAAAACATTGAAAATAGACTATGGAAAGGCTTACCTTGGAAATAAGCTATGAACAAGAGACTTAAATTCCAAATATGATTCTGGTAAATGTCCAAAAAATTGATGTACTATATGACAGAGATCTAGTAACATATTATGACCAACTATTAATTTTCCCTGAAACAAAAATATATTTTATTATTCCATATTTTTTCGATAGATCAGATGCATTGATCAAAACGTACAGAATCTGCAATTTTTCTCATGAGCATACTCAATCCAACTGCCTGTTGAATTTCTGTTCTTTCTTTCTCTCTTTTTTCAACATCCTTTTGTTCTTCTTCTTCCTTGGTTCCTGATCTTTGTACAACAAGACTACATGCAAAATTCTCCAATTTACTTTCAATTCTCAATTTATTTGGCCACCTCAACTTTGCTTCCTGATAAATGAGTCGTCTGATGAAAGCATTACATTTATCGATTACTAGTTCTTCTTCTTCAGAAGTGATAAATTCATCTATCTTTCTACTAAAATGATTTTCAATTAAGTTTCCTTTATATTAATGGAAGAAAGATGTTATTTAAAATTAAAATTATTTTTACCAAATCTCTTCAATCTGAGGCCTGTCAACGTCCAAAATAGGCAATAATTCTACTCCTACTGTCTCCTCTCTTACTTTTTGCTTCTCCTCCAATCGTTTGACTAATCTTTCTTCTTCATTTGCGGTTAAATAAGGAATACCAAATTTGAAAAGTTTATTGAAATCAAATCCTTGCGATGCCAGAAATGACATACAGGATGTTTGACACATAAATCTGCAATCCGTAGCCGAGCGATTTAAGGGACGTGGAAAAATATAAATATTGTATGATCGTTGACTATATCTGTAAAAGAAAAAGAACAATTCACTGAATAATTAATAAAGCACCAGATATATAATAAATGTATACTAATAAATTAATATTACAGCCAATATTGCTGCCAACTTAATAAAAGCTTACTCTAATAAATTTTGACACTAACAAGAATTTAGTGAATTATGGCAGGGATGTATAATGTATTAAATTTACAAAAATCTATTACATGCGTTACATATTATTCCATACTTTTGAGTTTCTGTATTAAGTGTAAATACAGAAAGGCCAAATTGTACAAGAAGAAAGTCCATTGATCCTGATCTCAATTTTGCATAATATTGAGCGGGGGTGTCAAAGGCACCAGCATCAGGTCCTGAATTAAGTCCTGTGAATTCACCATCGATACTAAGGAACGTTGCATTTTCTATGGCTTCATTCAATTCCGCAAGGACTTCTTGAAAATCTGTAAAAAGTTTACAAAATGTTATTTGTATTAAAACTTGGATTAATTTTAATTACTATATTTATGTTCTAGTCAACATATATACGCAACGATTGAAAAAAGAATAATAACAATAAAAACGTGGATTTTTTAAATATATATTATTATAGTTTTAAATATATAGAAAATTCAAAATTTTTTCAGCAATTAAAAGTTGGTAGCAGTGTTGTTGGAATCTTCAAATCTAACGTACGGTTCCGCGATAGAGCGCAATAATTATTATTAAATTGTTGTAATGAATAAGTAATTAATCATCAGAATAGTGTTCCGTGTAAAATAAAATTACGTGTAATTATTTGTTAAAAAAAATTCATGATGTGAAAACAAAATAAATTCAACATTGTATGGAATTCCAAACATGATCCAAAAGCGCGGGAGTCTTCCGAGAAAGAAGGTAATTCAGATTTTCCGGTCGTAAATTAAATATTCCTAATACATTTTCATTTTCATATAAATTTATATAAATTTATATATATATATACACATATACTACCTACTAAAGAATATTATTCAACATTTAATAATATTTTTGTGAATATTCGAAAGTTTTTCGTTTGAAATAATTTCAACTAAAGATGATGTAATAATGGATAAATAACTTGTAAATGTACATTGTTACTTCTAAATTAACCATATTTTAAAATACATTATAAAGAAATAGAAATATATATACACATGTATAGTACTATATAATATATAATACTACTATATAATATATAATACACTATATACAATATTAAAGTCGATTGTTAGATCTTTCATTCATATATACGTATCATTTCTATTGCGTTAAATTATGAAATAATATTATTGTAATATCTGATATTTTTACTTTCTTTTTTCTATAATTTAAGTGATGTTTTCAGTAATGATCCCTATTAAATTTTTCTGACTGCAAAGCATTATGCCAAAAATATATTTCCTATCTTTGATTCATGATCATTTCATCTTTAAGGCATGAGTTTATTCGCACAAAGTGTATTTCAATAAACATTACAACTTACTTTGAACTCTAAAACGTCATAACCTAAAAGGCCATACATTACCTTCGGGCAGTTATATTTATTAAGAAATTAAGAAAAACACAATACTATGTAAAATGTTTCTATCATAAGTTCATAAATTATATCTATAATACTGTAATTTTAAAGTAACTGCAAAAATTCTATCAAAACAAAAGCAGGAATACTATGACACGTGAGAAAAACAAATTTTGTTTCATGTTGTGTTTCAATCTTTTCCTGGTAATTGTTCGCATTTTTATACGTTTAATTTCTAACAAGCAACGTGTTCATTGTACAACGTGATTACAGAGGAATTAGAACGTTACAAATATACAATCCTACTTTCAATCATTATAAAATACTGTAAATATAAGTTGTATGTTGCATCTTCTCCGGTTACTCACTCAAAGAAGTCACTTCCATCTTTTCTTAACCTTGCACTTGCTTATTTACATTCAATCTGCAACAGATATTTTCTATTTTCTTGCCGGAACTGAAATTAAACGCGAAAATTAACGGGATCCATCGATCCCACACGATGCTTTCGTGGTTGACCACATTAAATAGGTATGTAGATTAGAATGAGGACTCCATCGATAAAAATAGCATTGCGTCCGGATCGCCATCTGGAGTACAATTGATATACTATTTCCTTACGCTAGGTTCATTGATGCTTGGAAATAAACCATAACCTAACTAATATAAGAATGATAGAATACAGTCTGTGCTAGGAACAAATAAAATAAATTGCAATAACAATTTTTTAATATACATGAAAAATAAAGTAATGGAATATGAATATAAAGTAATGGAAACATTAATAGAGATAATATTAATTTCATTTTGTCCAACGTACATATTTATTTCTCCTTTATTTTTAATCACTTTTATTAAAAATAAAATTAGAAAGAAAATCATATACAACATTTATCTAGAAATAATTTATAAATTAATAGTTCATTTAAAAAATATTTTAAAGTATTTTGCGAGAAAATTTATGCACTTAAAATAATGAAATGTTGGATAATGTCAATTTTCATATAAGTTATTAAGTACTTAGCCTAATTAAAAACTTATCACAGCTGCATCACATTGCTTTTAACATTAATGTTTTAAAAGATAAAGTCAGATAGAGTTTTAAAATACATGAATAGAGATGAAATAAAAGCTTTTCAAAACTAACAATCTACTTCAGATTATTGTATGTATGTATTACTTTAAAATTGGAATTTTATTACATTAAAACATACACCTCATAGATTTATATAGAAATATTTCATTCACATTTAACAATATAACGATACGAATATTATTTAAGAAAAATAAATTTTTAAGACATGAACTCGTATCATTTCGGTAAAAATAGAAGAGTAAAAGAAAAATCAAAGCGGATCAGAATTACGTCCAAACACGAAGAGTCAGTCATCGTACACTCGTGCAATCGTTTTCCTCATTTCCAATTCTTTGTGACATATTGCGGTGAAAGTACGTTTATATAGTGAAAGATATATTTAAGTATCACTAGCGAGAAATACGAAATGTATAAGGCAATCTATAGGCGAATTCTGAAACTAACTTCCATACATTTCTCACACACAAACAATACTTATGATAATATATATCGTAACATCGTAGAAATTAATATTACTGAAGCAATTAAAAAATATTTAATGGGCAGAATAGTTCATTATAGACAAGAATAAATTTCTAGCTGATACGATAATGGACAATTGCGATAAGTTTTTCAGGAAATTATATAACGCATAGCTATTACATTTCCAGAATAACACAGCTAGAAAATCTACTCGAATAAAATTTAGATAAATCACATTCGACCAATCGTACAACGAAATAATAGGATAGATTATTCCATTGGCTGGAATCTTGATTCAATATTTTTACACGTGTTTTTATCGTGCTGAAACTTGAAAAATTTCACTTCCTTTTCGACAAATCATTCAACCAATAATTCTCTGAAATAGAAAATACTTTAACAATCTTTTAAATTCTTCTTCTTGATACGCATTTAAAATGCATATTTAAAATAAATGTGCATTCTCAGAATTCTTCATCTTATCTATATTGTAAATCACATTGCAACGTTTTAACAAATTTTTACATTAAATTGTAAAATTTTTAATCGTGTAGTTTGTACATAAGAATAAAAGAGAATTAATACATTAATTTTTTATAATGGAAAATTAAAAATAATTTCGTACATAAATAATTCTGTGCAATAAAAATAAATCGTATATTAAAAAATCATTTTATTAGTTCCGAAATATAAGATTTAATTACCTAAGAGTGCACGAATTATTTATTCTACATTTAGATTCATACAGTTCTATTTTCTTCATCTTTATTTCTAAACCTAATTAATTTTCAAACGTTATTGACACTCTAAATATAATCTTACAATTAGCCACGATCTATTTTCAAAAGTTATCTTCCGCGTTGAGAGTTGAGAACGTTTCCTAAGAAAAATTCTAGTATATAATGAAATAAGTAACCGGAAATAGAATTCAATCATATCGGCAAACAATTTGCAGTGATAACAAGCGGATGTTCCGCAATCCGTTACTTCCGCACCAGAACTAATTAAAGCGAATTGAAAGGTAATTGAATTAAGCTTTCAATCGTTATCTCTACGATGTGTTCCCGGCTCGTGGACTGCGAATCGTTTCCTTCAAATGGTTGGTCGGACGGGAAGATTGGAAGAACAATACTTCGAAATAAAAGCGAACGACAAGATTCGAAGGATCCAATTTAGAACGGAATACGCCTATTCGAGGTTCTGCACAATGCCAATTTCTTTCCTTCCCAGAGGGTCTGACCGTTTTTGGGGCGGCTAATAGTTTCTGATCAAGTTTCCGCCTGTGTTTGTCATTCATTATTAATTATCGAACCAGCTTGGCAAAGCGTGTCACGTTTCTTTATATCGATAGCAATTAATAAATTAATCAGAATGTTATTTTTTTTTTTTTTTTTTTTTTTGATTAGGAAAACAGTTATTGAATTATTGAAAGCTGTGTGCGTTGTGACAATTGTTTTTATTGATCTTAATCCACACAAATCACTTTTTACAATATCCATTTCACTATACTGAAAATTCATTTTCTAGTTACTGAAATGATTTAAAAAATTGAAGAATTTTACGAGATTCGTTGCAAGAACCCGTTCTTTCAATTTTATGAAATGCGGTGTTCTATGAATTAAATACTGTGATAAATCAGGAGAAAATTGAAATAAATCTTTTAAATGTTTGAAGATTCCTCTTGTAATGATAGGAATCGTCACTCCATTGTCTCAAGTTGCGCAGTTTCAAATTATTTGACCGGCGAATAATTTACCAGTTTGGAGAAACGCGATTACAATCAACGAAACGTTTAATACCTTGTAAGAAGCTCTCGATAGCTTCGAGTATCCCACAGCGCATTATTTTCGTTCGAGTTGTTTGAAGATATCGGCGGGTCTCAGCGACCCTAATGCCATTACTTCAGTTTCTATCGGGTGTCCGTAATTTATATGACCACTCGAAAGAAAAGTTGCGCAAGGTCTCACAGCCGATAAGAAGCCATTTTTCACTTTGCCTACGCGAGACCGACGAAAGCCAGTCGGTCGATGGTGCTGGCAATAAGAAAACGAAGAAGGAAAAAAAAAAAAAGGGCCACCCTTCGAGATTTCGCACCTTCGCCAGAGGGTGAACCATTTCCCAGGACTTAATTTCATTGTACCCCCCGTCGTCAGTTATTCTTATTATTTTTCTCCTTCGCTCCCTAAATCATCAATTTCCCTTATTAGCTGTATTCCTGATTAGAAAAAATACCCCCTGGACGAACCGTTTCCCCGTAGATATTTTTGCAGCGATCTAATAGCGTCATGATATCAGCCAGCCTCCTGTAATTCCCCACTGAAATGATCTGGAAAAAACAAATGGGTTAATAAAATCAGACGAGACACACGGGGGGGAAAAAATCGTAAGATTTAATTCCAATCGAGTGGCCAGTTTTTAAATCACAGCAAATCGTTTCCAATTTGATTTTCAATTTTTTAGAATATGTAGCTACACAGGTCATTGTAATAAAATGGTCTATCTGCATATGGAGTTATCCAATTTTTAAATTAGTTGCTTGTTACTCTATCGGTTTGATTTTCTTTCATCTTCAGTTCATATATGTACGTTTCATTCGCGCGGGAGTACATTCTCATATTTCTTGTGCAAAATCGAGATCAATATCTCGAGTCTTTCATATCAAACACCTCGAACGGAATTATGATCGTATATTTCAAGTAAATTCATAAAAATTTTAATAAAGGGATAGTGGCGAAGTGGGAAAGCATGATATACGATCTCGAAAACTTCTTTTTTAAAATACAACTGGTACGATCTGACCTTTTCTCTCATATAACGTCGTTCCGATTCGATATTCGAACCGGTTGATTTATTAAGTCTATTAAGAAACTGCGAAATTGTTTTGACCGATAGGAAATGACTAGGGTGGTACAAATGAACGTTCGTAACGTTGAGGGTGGCGCAATGCCTCGTGTTTTACTCGATTGCAGGGGCGGAAATCTGCGATGGCATCAGAAGTTTCTTGTACTTCTGTTATAGCAGGTACTATAAAGCAAAGTTACCCCGGGCACAAGCTACAAATTAGTCACGATGATTTGGTTTCGCGAATATTAATCATTTCTTAGATCCTCAGAGGACATTCATATATTAGCATATGTCTATTTAAATTTTATTTTAATTCCCTGTCATTTATTCGGATCTAGAAATTAGAATGCATTGTAAATAAAAGTAATATATATATATATAGAATACCTAGAATTCACACTGAGATTCTACTATATATTTATAGTCCTTCAATACTAAAATATGAATAATAAAGAGGTACATCTTGTTAAATTAGATTAAAAATGAGAATGTAGAATTTTAATAAGCGAACGCAATTTTGCGAATAGTTTTACATTCCTTCAAACTAATCAACCATAAGGCGTGTTAGGTTATTTTCCATGATTATGATAGAGCTTCCGGCCATTTTCAACAGTATTGAGTAACCATCAATATTTAAGGGAAAAACGTTGCAGGAAATCACGGAAATCTATTATTCTCCGGTTCGATTTCGAAAGGGAAGCCGGTTTCACTACTCTCGAAATCAGATTACGAGAATTTATAGGGTCACTCACGAGCCCCCGAACCTCGGGTCGTTCCCGCGAGATCCACAGAAAACGTACACAATTAAACTGCCTTAGGGCTCCCGTTAGTACATCGTATCAGCTTTAACTGTAGTGCGATCATTTTCACGTTTATGAGAATTTAAACAGTAAACTGATACGTAATTACTGCAACACGATCCCTCTTCGACATCAGTTGAACAACGCTTTCGTAAATTTTGCAGCAATCGATATCGTTAGAAGCTAATAGTAATTTCAAAACAATTAGAATTTAACAAAAGTTTCGTTATTACACTTACACGCGCGATCGAACGTTGAACACAATCGAACTCATTATGAAAGTTTTCATCGCAGAGAAATGTGGTTCGTACATGATCGCAATAATCGTTTTGTAACTCGTACATACAATATTTCAGCATTGATTCCAAATATCAATGTAATTATAATAATCGTGTCTTATTACAATGTCAACGGTATTGCAAAAAGTTTCGTATAATGCACATATTACAAACGTTCTGTTAGAAATACAAATTTTCTATCATAAACGTTCGAATACTTTCGTGCATCACTGTTCCCCCTTTTCGCCTACTTTTTCAAAATTGACAAGTTCAATCTTTAAGAAACCGGAGAACGCTTCTACGAATCGACCATCTTCTTCCACTCGGCAAATCCAAAATAACACGCCTCTTCTCTCGAGTGTACTTCAAAGTAGAAACAGAACGACATACGAAAAATCCGCGAACACAGTGTTTCCAGCTTCTCGGGAGGGCGATAACCAAGAACCGAGGGAGCAGCTGCTAAAATCATCCGTCAGAAGCCGTTCGATTGATAGACTCGACGGGCATGAAATATTTAAACCGCTTAGCAAAGCTTCCACGTCGTTTTTCGGCTTAAACGTACTCGTACTGTACGTTCCCTCTCGACCCTCTTCGGCCCTCGCGCGGAGGAGGAGAAATAATTACAAAGTTACCGCGGGCCGACCGAAGGAAAGTTTTCCTGATACACACGGTGTAGACTGGAATATCGTTTCCATCAGACGGATTGCTATCGTCCGTGTCGGAAGGGTCTTTCGAGTCGTAAAGCGGGTCCAAGTGCTCTTTACATGCATATTGCCTTTCCTCGAAGAGCAGCGTGCTACGCTCTGCGAACCGTTTGTCCGTTTGTTGAAGCGGCCTCTAGGATCCCGATGCTCGATGCTCCGCGACGCGCCGACCCAGCCGTACGAGGACTCTTCAAATTTTATGCCACATTTAACCTCTGATCGATTTTCTTCCCGTGAGGAGATCTCGTGAGGAGAAAAGAAGAACCCTCCCCCGCCCTCCGAGGGGTTGGCTCGGTCGGACCCAGAGAAAGAATGGCAAACGACGGAAAAACAAGGTTACACGTGACGCAGCTCACGGCCGAAAATGAAGCTGCAGTTTTTTGCGACGCGGTTGCCAGCGTCGACGATCATTCTTCCATCTCTTGGTCTTATCTTGTCGCCGACTGAATATTCAAAAGGCTGCAGCCAGAAGATAGCCATTATCGCACGGGCTTTCGAAGTTTCACGGGCGACGAAATGAACTCCTCGATGACGGCCAACGGAGAATTAGCGTCTGCTGGGAAAATTAAGATTAGAGAAGTTAAAGTGACGGATACCGTTCAGCTATTTCCTAAGTCGTCGTAATATCAGAATGACGAGTCGACTTTGTACAAAGCTTTGTAAACTTCCTTAATTCCCTCTCCTCGATTCAAGAAAAGTGTAGTTCAAGACGGTAAGACGAGGAAGGATCGTCGAATCGAATTAATTTGTCTCGTAATTCGCTTAATGAACCTTTCCCTGAAGCAGCCTGTGTTTGAAAACGGACTGTTTAACTCGTCGTTAGCGGTGTAACGCGCCAGTGAAATATATATATCGTGCAATTAAATTGATATTTCCAGAATGTAACTTTTATCTAAACGAAAGGAAAGTCTGTCCGACTGATTCAACTGTTCTCGGTATAATTCCGTGGTATAAAGCTTTATCTCTGAAAATTATTTTGTTGTTCATTGTTTTAATTCTTCTGTGATACCTCCTCCATCACAGGAGTTATTCAAATTATTTTTCGTTTTTGATGCTTTTAACATACACGATATATTTACTCACTCTCCTACATATGTATATGTTACTAATTATTACGTACTAATTGTTACGTATATGCTACTATTAAAAACTAATAATTTCGCTTAGATTTCGATTAGATTTAAAGATTCGAATATCTTACGGATATCTCAAATAATCCTGTTTCACTTTACATTTGCATTTCTATTCGTGTATTTTCACCATTCGATACGATATAACACCACGCAGCGGCACGTTTCTCATACATCCTGCTGATGAGAAACATTAAATATGCAGATAAAAATGTTCGAAACGGAGGGAACGAGTTACGGGTAGGAACGACAATAACGGCACGAGCTACACAACAATGAAAAATAGAACGAATCGCGATACTTTTTGTTAACCGAACGTGTGATACAGCCATAAAGCGAGCAGGGATAACAAGTAGCTCGTGATTAATGTTTTTGCAGGAGGTCGTTCATGGGGATGAGCCCATGGGGAGCTTTCACTGTTTTGTGCCAGCTATTTGCCACTCGGTTTCGTGCCGTAACATTGCGACAGGTAGGGTGTCCACGTTCGGAATCCGTTGCTCTGGATATCAGACCGATTTAACTGAAGTGTCTCGGGCTGACTGACTCGCATTTTTAAGAGCTATCGTAAGAGGGCCGGATCGCAATAAAAGAAAGAGACTCGAATTGGCCACGGTTTTACCGTTCGTTTCCAAGCGTTAGCTTCAGATTGCTATCGTTACAGTCAGTTATCGTAATGCCGATGGGAATTGATGCGCGGATAGGGCTATTCAGAGGAGATTTAGATTATCTTTCACGTCTGCTTCGCTCAAGTTTCTTCAAGTGATGAGAAATATGGTGCAAATCTTTTTCAATCATTACACTCATAAAAAAATTCTGAATTTTATTTTGATAAATTCTCGTTTCGTAACTGATAAAAGTACCTCTTTACCAGGAATATTTATTACACGTGTACATTACGCGAACAAAAAGCTATGCTTGCCGAAGCATTCTACAAAGTTTCGCAAACGAACAACAACGACGCACACATAGGAGACCGGTGTTAAATAGTTTTATCTGTTCGGTTGTACGAGCGTGAAACGCAACATCGGGCCCTGGTGTTTATTCGTAATCGTAAAGTTTCGTTCGTGCTCGTAGTTCCACAACGTTGAAAGTTGTCGGCGATGCTAATTGGAAGTGGTTAGCTCGCCAGCCAACCCTATTTCGCACTGTGCCACCCCCAAGTTTTCTGAGATTTATGGGTTCATGGTGAAACGGCGCGAGTAAGCTTAAGTGCGAGAGCAGAGACAGAAGACACACAAGATTCTGAATTAAACGTCAACCACACGACAAGACGCTAAACTAACGCCGTACACACGGACGCCTCGGTATCCTCGACTTTGGTGATGATTTGCACCGGCCTATCTGCATAATAATTTACAGAGAATTTACTGTGCGTGTGCTCTGAGCGTGCGTTCTACACTCTCGTCACTTTACCAAACGTCGTTCTTTCATCGATAGGAGTAATTCAGAATCTTCGTATCGCTTAGAAAATCGCATTGACGTGCAAACGATACGTCGATACTTTAGACGGATACTGTTTCAAACTGGGCACGTAAAAATGTACGAAACGTGCGAGCGTCAATGCGCACGTTTCTATCTAAGAGTGAACTCCTGTCAAAAATCTCGTGAAATTTCTCCTCGACTAATGACCGACGAGTGTCAGTCTTCGCAAAATCCGTGGACACGCGATTTCAATGGAACTTTACCGTCCGTAGAAGGTCCCGAAATTGGCTATAGTCCCTACAGTCCTGCTGCTTATACGTTGCTCGTAAAATCCAACATCTTCCCACGGGCGGTAAAACCGATTTTCACTTTGCATTCAAACGACTATGAATATTCAGAGGCGCGGCTCTTATTTCGTGTTCACAGAGAGGAGAGCAAAGGGGGTGGGTGGGAAAGGCGAGGCAACGGTGGAAAAACCGAGCGGTGTAAAAAGTTGGAACGCGGCGCGGCGCCGGACGGTTGGACGGATTTTACGAGCGGACTATGGCTGCTTGAAAGCCACGCACCGGTTACAGACAGAAGTGTCTTTTCGTTTGTTAACGCGGGCGGCGTCGATGCTAAATTACCAGGGCAATAGCGGTTCGAGGTGTAATGTAGCGTCGCTAAGTACCATTGCATTAGTGAGGATGCACAGTACACCGTGTAGGATTGTTATCGTTTTAACAGCGAGGCTAACGGTGCCGGTAAATCTCGTTGCGTAGAGCACGGCAACGAACACATTTATCTGGGCCGCGTAGTGGCCGCAGCGTTCGGTACGGCGCGATCAGTTTTAACGTGATCACGCGTCGTTTACACGGCGAGACAAACTCGGCCGATTAACCGGTCAGATATTGAAATATCTCGGCGTGGCGCGCGACAGGAAGAATATGTCGGCCAAGAACCGATTCGGGGAACAAAGTCGTACGAGAAAAAAGTGACACATCGATATTTCGCTATTGGCGACAGTCCAGCGGGAGCTTGGAACGAAGAGGCACGAAACGGAAGCCACTACTCTTTTTCCGGCTTGATGTGGCCGATAGTTACCATCCCGGAGGACGCTGTTGTACCGAAAATTCATTTCGAAGACAATACCAAACGGTCGTATTTCACGATTGACGAGGGATAGAATATAGCGATAGAGAGGAGAGGATATAGCGAAGCGAGAGGCAGGCAAAGCTGTTACGCATATATTTTTTTCCTGCCAACCCCCAATATTTGCCCTGGCTCTCGAGGCACGGAGAAAGAGATGGACCAACGGTCCATCATGAGATCCAGCCGCGCAAGCCGATGATCGATATCTGTAATCTCGGGACGTTCGCACCTGTATTTCAGTTTTCTCCCCCTCCCCCCAGACACTAGCCACCGCGCCGGTATTAACCGTAGAAATGGGAAAATTCGGTGTTACCAGCCATTACGTTAACGACCGCGCGAACGCATTGCTTCGCCGCGCCGGTCCTCTAATGGGTACACATTGCCCTCGCGTGTCAGAGTAATAACGACTCTTTCGCGGCTGTTTTTCCGGACATGGAAATCGCGCCGGGCCGATAGTCCCGGCGGTATATTTTCAGTCGCCGATGTCGCTGCCGATCCCGATCACGATCCCGACTGCCGCTTCTGTTCGGGTAATCGTCGGCTGATTCCCAATCTCAATAAAGCCAGTAATAGACCAGTTACAACCTAACAGGCTCTTCCATGCCCATACCCGCTCCGAGAGCGACCCACCGACCGGTTTCCCTCTTCTCTCTATCCTCCACTGTTCCACCGAAATATTTGGCCGACGCAGCTTAACCCGGCAACGACGGGGGCTTGCATGCGCACCCCACCGGACTAGAAGCGCGTTCGAGCGTGAAAGCTCCGACGAAAAATGCGATGCGCCGCCGTGAATTTGTAAAACGGTCTCGTCGCTTTTCGCGGAAGAGCCGAGAAACGTGAAAACTGCACTGCACTGCCTCGCGTCGCGCTACCTTTTTCTTTTTTTTTTTCTTCTTTTTCTTTTCTTTTTTTTTTTTTCTTTTTCTTTCTCGTCCCTTTTCCCTTCTCTTTCTTTCTCTCGTTTTTCCTTCCTTCTTCTTCCTCTTGCTTTTCAGCGATCTTCTTTCGCAATTCACTCGGACTGCGGCTGTTATTGGACTTTTATTGAAACGACGGGAGCAGGAAGCGAATGGCAGGAGGGAGAATTGTTCGGGGAAGAAATTTTTGTTTGCTCGAGCGGCGGCGCTTGAATTTTATTCGTTCGCGTGTTCGTAAAAATTGAAGTGGGTATACGATCGTGGAAATGGCGGGCTGATTGAAGCGAAAGTGGGATGCTATCGTATTGGGTGAGAAGTATTGAAGAGGTATTGATTTTTTTTTTTTTTTTTTTTTTTTTTTTTCGCGCAAGTAATGAATCCAAATAGGGGGTTGCGCGGGTTATTAAAGCGACTGCTATTCTCGTTAAGGAGCTTGTTGCCCGGATGAAAATGTATTGTACCGTTAGATGGAAGTTGTTCTTGCGTGCCGTTTGAATTAGGCCTTGTTCGACGCTGAATAGAAAGAAATAAAGGAGGAACGGGAAGCTTCTGAATATATGCACGTCGCTTCAAATACGAAAACTAGAAAAACTAGAAATGAAAAATGAATTTCGGAAAATCTTCACGATAGAACGATCGAGATAAAAACACGCAGTATTCTTTTACAACAATAAACTACATTTGTTTGAACGAAACTTTAATCAATGCTCGATTGAACGAGCTCTTACTACTTGAACGTGAACGAAGAATTTTCCAGTAGTAGGAAGAATAAGCGAACTACTATTTGTTCGCCTCACAAAATTCTGCGCGACTCTCTCGCATAATCAGACAATCCTGCCTCGAAACTAGAAATACAAAACGAACATACGTTGCTCCTCTATGATTGTACACTTAAAGACGTTTCAATTTTCTCTTTTTCTTTCTTTTATAAATAAAAAAATATATATATAAATAAATAAATATAAATATAAATAAATAAATATATATATAAATAAATAAATATAAATATAAATAAATATATATATAAATAAATAAATATAAATATAAATAAGTATATAAATAAATAAATATAAATATAAATAAATAAATATATATATATAAATAAATATAAATATAAATAAGTATATAAATATAAATAAATATATATAAATAAATAAATATAAATATATTTATATAAATAAATAAATATGTATAAATAGATAAATATAAATATAAATAAATAAATATATATAAATAATTAAATATAAATATAAATAAATAAGTATATATATAAATAAATAAATATAAATATAAATAAATAAGTATATATATAAATAAATATAAATATATCTATATAAATAAATAAGTATATATATAAATAAATATAAATATAAATATATATAAATATACATATATAAATAAATAAATTTAAATATATATATAAATAAATAAAAATATATATATATAAAGAAAGAAAGGAAAAAGAAAAAAAAGTAAAGAAAGAAGCTCAAACGAGAAGATAAAAAAGCGAATGACAGGGAACGGTGCTCTTCTATGGCCAGTGGAAAAATAATTCATCCATGTGAAAACGTACGTTTCCTCGGCAGACCCGCTCTTAACAGTTCGTCTACTACTTGCTTTAATCCGATTTTCCGAAAGGTCCGCCGTCGCGGAACGCTACGCGTCGAAAAATATCTGTCCTGCACGGAGAGGGATAAAAGCCGACGAGACGGACGAAAGAGAAAAATGAAAACAACCGGACGTGGCTACGTGGCGTACCAGTTTTAAAAGTGTCCAGTGCCTCCTGCGGGAGCCAGTGTTGCCAGATCTCGGCGAGCTGGGAGAAGTTCACCCCGATGTCGTCGTGTCCGAGAGCCGGAAACACAAATTGTTCCTTGAACGTGCGAGACAACAGATCGGTCAAATTCCGCAAACACTGCAGACGAAGCTCGACGTTCATGCCAGTAGTGCGCGTCAGCGCGTCACTGCAACAAGTAGTTACAGGCTCGTTAGTGTACTGGCAACATACGGCTGGCTGCAAGTTGTCAGAATTACTACCATTTCGCTGGCGAACGCGAAGAAACGACACTTCACCGAACTTGCGCGAAATTTTGCGTTCCGTCGCACAATAGAAATCCAAAACGCGAATACTTCGTACGTTCGACGTCTTTGTACAGTTTCAAACGCCGAATTGAAGAATGTGAGAAGAATCAAACTACAAGATGAAATTCTGCTGATATTACGTTACATTATTAGACGAGTGACGTTACTGTGGCGTCATGGGATTTTCAATGACGATGACTGACAACGTTAATGCAGCTTCGTGTGATTCTCGGCAGTTAGTTACATCGTCGGAAATGGTTTATTCTAAATGTACAAGAGAATTGACTCTTCACAGTCTTCTAAAAAAAGCAAAACATTTCCATTAATGCTATATATATTGTTACACTATTATAACGTGACTATAATATATAAAATACATATAATATATGCTATATTATATATATTATATATAATTTTATATTATAATGTAAATTATAATATAAGTTTATGATATATATATTATATATTATATTATATATTATATTATATATAATTTTATATTATAATATAAATTTATAATATATTATATTACATATAATTTTATATATATAATATATGCTAATGATATTATATGATACAACATTAATAATAATAATATAATAATAATGTATACAACATTAATAATAATAATAATAATATAATAATGTAATACAACATTAATAATAATAATATACGACCGTAAAGTCGTATGATTTTTAATGATGAAAAACAAATTTTAAATACATGTATTTGTATTCATTCTTTTACATACTGTTTCGAACGACTGGAAAGAATTATTAAAAACAGATCGTCACAGAGAATTAACTCCTCCTCTCTCCCTTTTGTAATTCTGACGTTGCAATGAAATTTCATATCGTAAGAACTCATTAAATATAAAATTACGTAAGATATCGTAAGAACATTAAATATAAAATTACAGTTATCATTTCACATCTCTCCTTCGCACACTGCGATTTCTCTTTCACTTCTTCCCCTCGGCGAAAAGGAAAACACTTCCCTCGACGTTATAGCGTCGAAGTTTCAGAATTAATGAAATTTTTTCAATCCTTTCGTTTTTTTTCTTTTTCTTCTTTTTTTTTTTTTTTTGCACGCGCCAAGTACTCCCGTGAAATTGTTTGCATGCGAAACTTAATTAAAAAGTCGAAGAGAATCGAAGTCGGAGGTGCGAGCTGAGAAGAACGAACGGAAGATTCGTTGCTGGCGGTGGTAGTTAAAAATAGTTTGTGTGTACGCTTTTGAACTGAATGTACTTTGTATGTACACATAGACACACGTGTTGCTGGAACTTAATGAGAAAGCTGGGAAACTTTGTGCCACCCTTTAGCAGAACGCCATTACAAAAATTGCTGCAATTAGATCCTCTTAGAGACTGGATTTTTTCCCTGGAAGCGAGAATTTCCTTCATTAATTTTTATTTGATTCCAGAATATTACATTGTCTGTGCTCGCTGCTGCTGCTGCTGCTGCTGCTGCCGCTACGAGTTGCATTTTACGGCTGTACGATCTTTGTAATATAAGAGAATGATAATATAAGTCAATTTAAATCGACGGAAATGAAGTATTTCTCTCAAGTTGCTAAAGTGGTACGAGCTCGTATTTGTGCAAACTAAGAAATGACCGAGTTTAATTTATTCAATATCATACAGCATATTTTTATACTTTAATATTTAATTTGCTTATAAAATATATATATATATATATTTGATATTAAATTTTTAATTTTTAATTTTTATTTTTATAATTATTTCGATAAATTTTAAATTTAATATATGTATTTTTATATATGTATTTTTTGTGGACAACAATTAAAGAAATGAAACCTAAATAGAAATTCTCTAAATATTGCAACAAATATTCTCTAGACTTTAGATATTTTATATATTTTACATGTTCAAATTTTCCATAAATAAATACGTAAAAGTTTACAGACTAATAATAAATGTCGAATATATGTAACACAAAAATATTATCATAAATATTTTACGTTCGATATTTTATATACTTTTGCATCGTTCTCCGCGCTTTCAAATATCCCATAAATCAACAATCTACATACAAGTGTCGAACAAAAATCCAATTTTGATTGTCCTTAGTTTAAATATCCAACAATATCAAACGTATTGGAAAATATGAAATATACAACAAAAGAAGAGAGTCTCGTTCGAGGCAATCTATAAATACTTGAAGCCTCAACATTCCTCGAGAAGATGTTAATAATTAAAGTCTCGTAACTTCTTAAGCCAGCCGAGTATATTTCGTGTACGTTTCTTAGGCGAGGTGCAGCGCGGCACATGCAAATTTGAATTCAGTACACCGCGCAGTTTTAGATTCGTAATAATTCAGCGGGAAGATAATTTAAGTTGAGGTTGCATTAAAGTACATCGAAAGACTGGGAGAAGACTGAACACTGTGTGTACACGAATAGAGAGATTGTAGGTTTCGCGTGTGACTCTGCTGAATAATCTGGATTGTTCGTGAGAGAGTGTATGATATCAGCTTTGTGTTATGAATTGATGGTGAAATATGATATCAGTCACGTGAAGCTGGAACAAACCGAAACCTCGGAATCGACTTGCAGTCGCAAGCTTACGTGAGCCAGCATTTCGAATTTCTTCCTTGATAACCGATTGCATTGTTACGTAACTATCTGCGACGCGTTAAATATTAAATTATATATTCCCCGCCGCGAGATGGAGGCAGAATTTTCTTTAACAAACGAGTTGAGATAATAATCGGGGTACGTTGACGTAATTAGCATAATTTCTCTCGCTCCGTGCAATTGCAAACCTCGAAGAGTGACTCTGCTAAAAGGAGAACACGTTTCCTCATTTTCTTTTTATTGAAATATTAATGCGCAGAGTACTGAGTCTTTAGAAACTATGTTATACAGGGAATTAAAAGTTTACGATTGCACGTTTGATTATTCGAATCCCTGAGAAATTTTACGATGTCAAGTTAGTTAATGGAAATGACATAATTTTACCGTGTATCGAATAACCGTGAAAGCTCTGTCGTCGTTTTTATCTTGAAAAAGAAAACATGTATAAATGTTCAAGACTGCTGCTTTAATCGAGAAAATGCAATTACCCTTTCTTATTACAGTTATAAAAGCCGGGGGATGAAAAGCAACCTCTTCACTTCTGAACCGTTGATTCTGCAGATAATTGTCCAAGCTCGGAGGAAGATTATTATAAGAAGTATATAAATGCGAGAAAAATAAGGAGAGTAAAATCTTGTCAAAAATCACGCGTGTAACATTGAATTATCACTGCAAGAAGGCGTCATGTGATTTTTAAATTCAAAAATTGTAAGGTAATTAAAAAATAATTATAAATTCTTAAAAAACACTTGCCAATTTCAACCTTTGGTAGAAATTGTTCCTGAAAATAATCGGTGCTGAACTATCTAGCAGATAATCGATCTTGGTCAATTTTTTTGTCATCTACAAGTAATGAACAATTTCAATTGTACCGATTCAGAAATCTAAAGATTGTGAAATCAACATTGAAAAAGTTCATACTCCATAATCGTAGGCTTTTATAAAGTTTCAGAAAAAAATAATTACACTTCGAGCAACACTTTTTTTTCTCGAAATTCGCTGCGTTCTCCTTTATTATAAAACAGGAGTCAGGCAGGACTTCCTTTATTATCTGATAATGTACACATGGAACTACTGAACTTTCTTGCGTGTTATGCATGCTGGATAATGCGGCTGTACAGTGCTATGTATATAAGTTTGTTCTACAACGGGATTACAATTGAAACGTATCTGAGCTTATGGTACTTAAAAGAGCAGGTCTCAGTTGCCACGAAATGATCCACTTGGTATAACTACCGTTTAATGTGATCGTCACGTTTCTGCAAGTTCCATAACATCTGTTCAACGACCAGTAAAATAATAATCTGCGAAATATTGTTGAATGACTAAATTGTCGTTGTAGTTGTTGCCTAAATTGTTTAACCGGTTATTAGGCATATGCATGTGTCAACAAAATAACGTGCATATTAATTATTAATTACACACGTTCTGTTGTTTGACAGTTGTGATATGAATATGTGTAATGTATCTTAATAATCATAATTTTTACTCTAATCTATATATAATTGTATATTTGTAATATTATAATCAAAATTGTACTAATAATATTTTTAAATTTTAAAATTGTACTAATTATATTCTAAAATATAATTATATTAAATATAATATAATAAATAAAATATTAAATATAATTCTATATGTTATATAATTTATTAATATAATAAAAACTTCTTTTTAAAGGCGTAATGACAATAAATCTCATCGAGAAGAGACTTTATTATTAATTATCATCGTTGCGAGTAACATCGTAATTTGAAATTTCAATGCAGGAAAATGTACATAATAAACAATTCCTTCTCGGTAAGAAGGGAAAGCGCGCGTGCGGTATGTAATAAACTTATTACCGGTGTTAAATCAATTTTCATTAGATTTCGCAAATCAGAAGGGAATTATCAATTGGCCCAATAATTTATTCACAAGTGCATTAACATTTGCAATTCAGTTGTAAATAAATCGATCAAACTCTATTAAACCAGCGATTTGTACGGTTTAATTTATACAGGACACACGGCCATCGTGTTCGCGTCCGCGCAAACACAAATCTTTACAGCCCGCTACACATTCTTGTTCCTCCGAATTTGCGAATTATCAATTATCAGATTAGTTTACGAAACTGCGTGTTAAAGGCTAATCAGTTTTCGTTGATTCATCGGGGCAATTTACTAATACGTTCCCCCAGAAACGTTCATACGATACCGATTCGTCACCCAGTCGAACGCTCGTTAATTTCATATTCGATTTCTATTTCCGTTCGTTGTTGATGCATACGCTGGACCATTCGTTGTTTGTTATTTTCGATGTTGTCCAATAATTCGAATTTCATGTCGTATTTAATCGCGCCGGATTATCCGTTGTTATTAATTTCATGGAATTCAAATCTTCAAGTCACGTGAATTATCAACGAGCTAATAACGACAAGTAATAATAATATTACGATACGATAAAGAACGTAAATGTAAACTATGAATGATTGTCGATATTTTTGTTTAAATGACTTGAAAGAAAAAAACAAAAAATGTATAGCAATCTCATTTCTTGGTCAACGACAAAAGTTCAAGAGATTCTAACATTTCATTGACGTTTTAAAGTTAAATAAATTGGTGAGAGAAAATCGTGCAGCAAGTTTTAAGGGATCGTCGTAAAGAGAAAATTTTAATCTTCAAAATTATGGTAGATTTAGACGTGAGGAAAATTTTCAAATGTTTTTAATGACATTTGAATTTTTACAATTTCAAGAATAAAAATATCCTTATTTCTCCAGTCGCTACGTAATATAAAAATATCTTCGAAAGAAACGAACACAGTACTGCGAAAGCAGAGGATTCATCAATATTTTAAAATATGAAATATACAATTTCCCATCGTAATTAATTCAGTTATACATTTGCTTTTCGCCTTCTATTGTCTTTCAAAATTAATTAACGCTAAAAAAGATCGGCCTTTAATGCGTATCGAATATTCTACACACAAGTCGTTATAATAATTCTATTATAAAATGAAATAGATAGATTTAATTATGTTCTGAACAAAAATTAATATTAACTTTGACAAGAATGTTTTAGGCAAAAGAAAAAGGAAAGAAAATCTAAATCTAAATCCGTCATATTGATGGATTTGGTCGTCAATCTTTTCAAGCAGAACCCAATTTCACAAAAATGATATAACGACGAGAAAAGAGAAATATAATGATATAATAAAATAATACAATAAGGAAAATGAATTACTACAAAATAAGTATAAAAGCAATCTCGAAATTCGGGAAAATTCATTAACTAAAAATGAGAAAGTAAATCTGCATTAATGGAAACAATTTAGTTGGCTGCAGCCGGTTCTCATCAAATGCTTCTTAAACGCCCCGACACCCTCGATTCAACAGCTTCGCAGTCAAGTCGATAATCCCCGGGAGTTATTTAGTTAAACGAACTTCCTACTTCACGATTACTATCCAATTAATGTCCGGCAAGCATAATTGCTTGCAAGATTCTTATCCAGTTACGGTTGTCAACAGACGCCCGCAGATCGACCACGGACGATCTAAATTATTTTCAATCGTCGGCAATCATAGTAAAAACTGCAAATCAGTCAGATTTATTGGCAGAAGTAATAACTCAAAGCTACATCAAAATTGAATTCTGAGAGATTCTGTTAACGAAAAGAAGAAGAATGCTGTTTTTCGTACTAAATTCTATCAGAACAATCAAAGTGATCAATTCGTAATTTCTCAAGCTGATTTTCCTAGATTTACATTTTTTTTTTTTTTTTTTTCTAGGTTCGTAGCATTTTTCGAAGTTTTCGAATTTCTCGTAAAACGTAATATATGAGTATAATATGATATAATATATGATAATGTATGAACAAAAAATCGTGTACTTTATTGTATTGTAATTTTTTTGCAATTTCTATTGTTTTGTTGTTTCGTAGTTTTCTATAAATTTAGAACGGTGCATTTTTAAAGATCTGCTCACTTTATCACAAAATATCTGAATAGAAACTTATATACGCCTTTCCAACTCATGACTATAAGTGACTATTACTATAATCATAATTTATCTTATAATTCTTTCGTCTTTTATATCAAATATTTATAACGTATAATGTTATAAATATTTGTAACAATAAATCAATAAAATAATAATAATAATAAATTTAATTTCCTACAACGTCGCCTATAAGGATTTGTTTTGTAATTTAACTGTCAATTAAATCCACAATTCTCTCTCTTTATCCGTCTTAACAAATTACATAACGCCTTCTTCCACCGACTTCTTGAATTCTTCCACTAAAAGCTCTGTACAACGAGAGGAGAGTATAGCGAAAGTTTGTAAACCTACCCCGTCCAGAGGACGAACTTGATTCCTTCGCCGCGATTAGACATCATCGCCGACGCCGCTGATTCCACCAGAGCCCACGGCGAATCGCAGGCATAGTCGCCGAATTCTCCGGGGGTTTTTCGGCCGCTGTTCACGCCGTTCCTCGTGTTCCAGCACGCTGCAAAACACGAGCCAGCTAAGCTGTGGGGGAGGAAACAAAAAGAAGAAGAAGGGAGGAAGGGAGAAAAAAAGGAAAGACGAGGAAGAAAGAGGGAGAGACGTGAAACGTGGGAACATAGCGCTCGTATTAAGGGAGCAACGAGGCGGACGCTGGTTGTGTTGCCACGCTAACGTCCAAATGACACGGAGTCAACTCGTGGGGCCCGCGCTCGCTATTGGACGCAATTTCAGGTAGCGTTATTTCATGCAAACTCCGTGCCAACCAAACACGCCAGGTACTTTAAAACGATCGGTAAATAGCGACAGGATGAGGGAGGACAGGGAAAATATAGGCGGCGAGGGATGAAAGGGGTGGAAGAACTGAATATACTCTGTTACCGAAATGTTTGGCTAAACTTTAGGAAGGCGTGTCGCGCAGAGATTGAAGAGAAAAATTTCATCCAATATTTTGCTTGACAAAGCTCGCAGAGAGAGAGAGAGAGAGAGAAAGAAAATAATGATTTTGTATCTTCGCGTTGGATGAATCGTTGAGTGAAAGGGTTTTTCATTTTGCTCGGAAATGAAGTTCCGCAGTACCTGGCGATCGATGCTGAATATAAGAGAGAAATTTTATCCGATACTTCGCGACCAAGCTCGATGGAGGGGGGAAATGGTTTCGTGTCTTCGCGTTGAATAAATAATTGGCGCTGACATTTGAAACCCTTAGTTCTAAACCGTGCGTTGCAAACGTTGTTCCGTAAGTTTCGCCATATTTCACGTGCTCCTTGCATGTAACGTTAATATGGAAATATATGTGCGTGCTGAAATGATCGACTATACTGTTAATTCAACTTTATAGACTCTATATTAGTTCCAGTTTAATAGTAATTACCATGGTGAATAATTTTACGAAACTTTTATTAGAGGATACCATCATCAAATTGACAGTCAAAGTGAATTAAGATTGGAAATAGAAAATTTTCGAGTTAAATACGTGGCTTTAATAAAATAATAATCGTGGCATTTGATCAATTATCCGTTAATATCCATTAATTTAAGAAAACGAAACAAACACTGTGTAATAACTCTTTCAAACGTGCGCGCCATCTTATAAATTTGACTATCTCGTTGCACAAAATCTTGTGACGATTCTCGATCAATCAATTCGCACGTTTAAAGGACGCTTAGGCTACGAGCGCCGCGACGACGATAAAAAGGCGGAACAAAAGCGTATTCGTCGAGATATAAAACGAAGCTACTCACCATTCGCGTTTGCCTGGGTGGAATACCTCGGATCATAGTGGATGTCAGTGATGTGCCAGAAATACCCTGCAAGCAGAAAGAACGAGGTCGTCGCGCCTTCTGCGTTTCGTCTTCTATTTGCATCACGTCCCGTCGCATTTTCATTCATCGTTTCTTCTCCGACCAGTTTCTGCGAGTCGACGTAACGAGACAAGAAACAAAACACGCGAAACGCAAGGAACTAAACGCGCGATTGTAGCCAAACGAAATTCGATTCGTGAATCGTGGATTCGTGTCGTGTTTTCGTGCGTGTCGTGTCGTGTCGTGTCGTGTCGAGTCGAGTCGAATCAAATCGAATCGAATCGAGACGAGACGAATTGGATCGGCGCCGCGTAAGACGTGTAAGACGGATTGTTTTAAATTGGTGGCACAAGCCGTTTCCTCGACGAGCCCTCCACCCGGAGCTAATTTGCAAAGTAATTAGACTCAACGATCGATCCAATGGCTAGATTGAATTTATCAAAACGTACACGCGGGACCCGCGTCGGCTGTTGTTGAATCTGCGATATTTTAAATTCGAACGGGTATTTTAAACTGATATTTTAAACCGGGATCGTATTTAAATGGAATCGATTAATCATTTCGAGGGCATTGATATATAGCGGCGCGCGATTTATTCGAAAAGGTAATATCCACGAAAATAAGAATTTTTTGTGAATAGAAGGAAACAGCGCAAGAAATAAATATTATTTGTCATTTCAGGTACGCCCGCTTATAAGATTGTCAGATTAATACGTTCAAAAATTACTCTTATTTCGTCACTTCTAAAAGAAATATCCATACTCTATTCTAAGTTATATTCTAGAACAACATTTTCCTTGAGATCCGTTAAAAAATGCAGTTATTGAAGTTGTTTACAACTTAATTATTATACTAGTTTGTTTTCCTCTTTTTATTTTCTTCGCGTTTGTTTTCATTGCTTATCTTCATGTATGTATTATTAGATCTAACGCCCATTCATACAGAATAATAATAACAACAATACTATAATTTATATCCAGATTATTATTAAAATATTATTACTTAAATTCGCAGTTGTATTTTTGTAACGATAAAAGTAGCATAACCGGTACACACATAACGTGTGATTTATTCGAAAACTAATACAAAGATAAATATTATCTGTTATTTCTATTTACTTAGAAAGATTGTCGAATTAATATATATATTCGAAAATTTATAGTTGCCTCATTTCACGAAAAAATATTCTGAAATATTGTAGTTTCAACGTGATTTATGTCCAGATTGTTATTAAAATTTCGCAACTCCGTTTTCCTGACGACAAGAGGAACATAACCACTGCAAAGAGAATCGATTCCAATACAAAGATTGAAATATATTTATTTAGTGCAAAATGAAACATCTGATCTCGTTCGTTTACGTATACTTTAGCCCACCTTCGTAAATTAGATTTAAATTAGCCAGTCAACAAAACCTCTATATCTTCTCGTTTACGTCAAATTTTACACGTTTCTACGATGTTGCTCGAGCACGAAAGTTTCTCTGTTAATTGTTTCAATCGACAAATTTCAAGTCCAACGGTCCAAGGGTAATACCTGCCATATTGCGATACTTTGCAACGAAACGACCTCCGTTCTCAAATTGCAACCTCTCATTTCAATAATGAGAATTGCACTCTTTCCGAGTGAGATATCGTCAATCAGAAAGTTCCGACGAAATTGGAATACTTCGCAACTACGTTACTTATATCAGCATTCGAAAGTAATTTTAGTTCGAAACGCGAATACCTTATACGGGGACATAAAGGAAAGGAAATTTCATAGTGCGGAATTGGGTCGGGGGAATTTTCGTCAACTCGATCAACTTTATTATAACGTTTTCGTTGGCGGTCGTACGTTACCGGCCGGCTTGTTAACTTGGCCCATAGTTAACCGTGAACACCGAAAAGAGGGGTGGACCCCGTTAAACGTAACGTCTGTCGAATAAATTCCGTCTCGATCGCGCTCAAAGAACACCGACCGAGTTTTTACGACGCGGAAACTTTCGCCCGTTTTAATAATTCACCGTCGTCGTCGTAGTCGTCGTCGTCGTCGTCGTCGGGGCAAACGAAAGAGGGTTTCTATGCAACAAGAAATAACGCGTATAACAATGCAGGCGCAGCGCGTAGAATCGGGGTTGGAACGACGCCGGCTTACACTCGTTTATGCACGCATACATTTACCTATTTTTCCTTGCACTGCGCATAGCCACGAGAGCAGTACCAGATAGTCACGGATCATCCTTCCAGATTTTGATCTGCAATCAAGTAAATCAGTCGGTCAACGGTAGCAAGATTTTTCGACTCGAGATGGGCAAAATTATCGCAGAGCGATTTCGTAAATTTCCGATACCTCACAATTACGATTAATCGACCTTCGTACACTTTTATAAGAAATTAAGAACAGAATGTAGGTTTATTGTAACGTTTATTTCGAAGTAATAATAATCAAGTGACGTTATTTATTTAGAATGTAAAGATCGACTTTTTTTTATTGTTCATTAATGTAAAAACAAAATAAAACGTAATTAAATTAAATTGATAAATGAAACAAGTTAGTACTTGGTACTTACATCTTCTACGATAAACTCATTTTTGTCAATTTTGGATTTATGCCACTCGTCAATTGAGAGCATTTCATATGTACTTATTTTTGTTCTAAGATAATTGGAAATGAAAATTACGGAGACAAGATCTTTTTTTCCTTGTATTTGTGCCTCTGTCATTTTTATAAAAGTAAGGAATATAAAGATAATTAAATTATTAAATCAGGAACGAAAGTCTTAACAAAAAGATCGTTCTCTTTTTAAAATTTGAAAATGACTAAATTAATTGAACACAATGTTTTTGTTGTAATTTATAGCGTATATTATCATTTAGATTAACATCAATAAATATCGGCGGATAAAATCAATCTAGTCAACGATTCACGCATAATTTTGTCCTACTGTCCTTTGCAGTGGTTAAAAATGTAATTTTTATCCTTTCATCGAAAAATTCCAATACATTCTTCGGAAATGTAACATCGAGACACAAATTTGTTGTACAATCTAGCACTCTATTTAGAATATCATCGAAAAGGCGAAAGTGTCTGACCATAGCATTAACATTGACTACTAGTAACTGCTCGTTTGAATAAAACTTGCTCGTTACGAAAGACAATCGAGTTATCTGCTTCAGAGTACGTGTGCTAACATATTTCCTCGATTAAATGAATTTCGAAATAATCGTGAAATATAATTTTCATTCGGATAAAATTCGAATTTTCACCACCAGCACGTCGATTACACGGATGTGGACTGGAGGCCCTCGGGAACCATTCGCAACGTCGCGTAATTTCATCGTCATCGAAATTTACAAGTTCGAATTAACATATCATTTTCACCGGTGAATTTCGAACAAAACCGGTGATGTCCTCGTGATATATCCCCGCGAATCCCAGGCAGGCATGATCTGTTCGGAACAACGTCAGCAACGGCAGCCTTCAATTTTAATCTGAAATTTAATTTCAGAGGTCGTTGACAACGATGTGTCTTGTAAAAGAGCCATGACGAGGAAACGCGCATCATAAAACACTTTACAAGGCTCTTTCGGACTGCAACGAGGGTGACCTCGTAAAAACGTCGACAAACCAATAACCGCTGCTGGTGGATCGTTTGACGACATAACAAAGAGCTGACGCAATACTTGAAGCGCATAAATACGCAACGTTTAGGAGGACGCGCGTCAATGGAACAGCGGGGAATGGATTTTTCAAGGGTTGAACGAATGCACTTTGTGAATGAGTTTCAGAGTGGTGAATTTGCCTCGTTCGAAAAAAAAAAACTCCCTACTTTCCTTTTTAATTTTTTTTAAATTGAAAGAAGTTAACTTTTGAAAATTTATTGGATGGTGAATTTGCCCGACCTTTTTCATTTTTCCGCGGATATCTTACAATAATATTATCCCGTTAAAATATAGTTTCGGAGGGTGAACGAATATATTTTGTGAATGAGTATCAGAATCGTTCGGTGAAAAAATTCTCTACCTTCTTTCTTTTTAAAGACGTCAAATTGTTTTTAAAACATTTATGCAATTCTGTAGGTCTCTTAGGTTGTTCCGTCGAATTGTTTCTGGCAAGATGCAGACACTTAAATAAAAATTTGGTTACGTTAGAGAAATGCTAAACTATTTTTTTTTTTTTTTTCTGTAGAAAATCTTAATCTGGTGCAATTTTTATTTTAGTGTATTTTTACGATACAAATTTTTATGATACAAATAGTACATACAATGAACGTATCTTTCGTAAAGAAACAATTACTAGTAGTCAATGTCAATGCTATAGTCAGGCATTCTCGCTTTTTTGGAAGTTATTACACATAAATGTTAGATTGTGTAATAAGTTCATTTGTGTTTCGATCATATTCTCGAAGAACGTACGTATATATTGAAATTCTTTGAAAATTTTGAAGCAAAAGTCAAAAAGTCTTAAATATTACTAGAATAAAAAATACATAATTTAACAATGCTCTTTTAAAGAAATACCAACGAATTTATTACGCAATCTAATTTCTCTAATGTTTTATCTTCAGTAATTAATAAAATTCCCCATTTCTTTAAAAAGAAAAAAATAAACTTGCAAACATTCTATGACCCATAACGTATACAATAATCCTTTAACTTTCGCGTCTCTTGTGTTATTTCCATTTTACGAACAATTAAACAGTTTCTTCCGAAATCTCTAACACCGTATCTTAACCGTTGTATAAAATATAAAATTCGGACTCAATTAAGACCGATATTCGCGTTTCTCGCGACAGTAAAGCAGCTCAGTCATGACACGTATTGTAATAAAAGCAGAGCTGCGTTAATTATTCAAAGGAATGTTTCGTGCGAAAGATCAGCTTTTCGAGCTCACAACTCGGTGCGTGTCAATATTTAACGTCCCTCCGATGAATATTTTAACCGATGAAAATGTCAAACGATCGTTCGAGTTTTCTTTTAGTTTAGACGCGTATTATTTTTTCACGTGAGCGACGTTTCTGACGGCGTAAGCATAACAAAGCCGTCCAGCTTTCGTGACGACGAAAGCGGCGCCACCTTTCTATTTCAAATTTTCACTCTCGATGGATTCCAACGTTGAAGTCGTGATAATCGGCCGCGATCATCTGCGCTCACCAAGCCCGACTCGCCACAACTTCTGACTAATAAACTCGATTTATCTTCGTTCAGGTCTTTATGAGAGCTATGTATCGCGTTCAAAATGCAAATACTAACTACCCCGTGAGTACATTGAACTTTTTCTCCAGCTATTGAGAAGTAAAGTTATTACCCACTACTAGTTTGCATATTGTTATGCACTCTAACATTTCCATGGCAATAGCTGAAGAAATTGAGCTTAATTACATGTACATGTATATAGCAGCGGGGGAGAAAGAAACATTAGAAATTAATGTTTCACGCGTGTGTAAATAAAATTTATTCCGTCTGGGACACATGTTCATTTCTTCCGCCAATTATAATTCGGTTTCGTAAAACTACAGAATTTTCCCCATTTTATTATTTATGCTTTCTTTTGAATCATCACTACATACTAGTCCTATCTATTACATATTTCAATAAATATTCTAATTTAGATATTTTATATATTAATAGATACTTATGTGCATTTTTTTACACAGATTTTGTAACCATTTTGTAACTATTCTGTGGAATTTTTTACCTCTCGATTTTCACAGATTTCTGCTTATTATTTACATTGTCAGCGAATTTCGTTTTAACAAACGTAGACATATTTGAAATGGAAAAATATTTAAACGGTAAAACTTGTCTCGGATTTTTGAAAAATACTGCCTGTTCGAATATACGTTCGATAAGTATTTCTTTCGATAAGAAATAAATGTGGACACATTTGAAATAGAAAAATATTTAAACAGTAAAACTATCTATTTCTGAAAAGTGCTGCCTGTTTGAATACACGTTCAGTAAGTATTCGAAAAAAAAAGGGGGAAAAATGGAAGAGGAAACAGTTGCGCGGAATTTTATATGCAATGTACAATGGCGTGTATCAACTTTTTGTACGTGTGACATTTTTTGCGAAAAAACGAGAACAACCTATAACGTTTTTAACAAAGTGTCGTGTATTTTTCCATGTGATAGGAGAACGAGTTTCGCACGTGAAACAAATCGCGTGACACAGCTCTCAAGGTCATAGGCAATCGAAAATGAAAAAAAAATAAAAAATAAAAATGTTGTTTGAACTTTTCGTAACACTGCGACTATCAGAGCGTACGCATACACACAGTAGACTTTCGTCTGTACGAACACCATTCATTTGAACAAAATTTTAGTACGTGCTCGATTAATGCTAGTACAACGACCGACAACGTTATTACAGCGCCATGATGGTAACCGATAACGTCATGATTTTCAGCAATTAATCGAAAAATAATTCACCTCAAGTATACAAGTAGTAAAATTTTTCATAACAGAAAAAAAAAAATTTTTTTTCATTTGAAAACGACTGCATCAGTGCTATAACCACCAATGATGTTACTATACAGCGTCATACGATAGTTTGACTAAGAACTGTTGATAAAATTATTATTAAAGTAACATTAATAAAAATATTAAAATTACCATGAAAAATAACCAGTCATTACAGTGTTAAACTCTTGCCAATTGAATTCACTTGAATGTGAATTCTTACTATGTACATATGAATGGAAAATCACAGGTAGGAAATAGAATCAATGAATTCCTATTTTATTAATTTCGATTATGTGAGATACGTAAAATACTTGTAAAGTATGCATAAAAGTATGAATGGAATGCGTGAATGAATAAAATCGCGTCGGAGTGAATGAAAAAAGAAATCAATCGTGAAATCCGAAAGAGTGAAGAATGAAGAATATGTTACGACGATAAAAAAATCTTAATACACCAATTCAATAAACCTTGTTTTTAATTTGTCTTCCTACATACATGAAAAGATTTATGATAAATTAGCTGCAATATATAAAACATTTATCCCCTGATAAATTCATACGAACGGAGTTTCATCGTTTATTATTATTCCACATTTTTGTGAAAAATGTCATACATGTGAAAAATTTGAATATATATGCTACTGTATTGATTATAATATACCGTGGAACTTTTTCTTCCTTCGTTATCTTTGTATATTTATTAGTCGTAGGGGAGAACGCTTGGTCAGTAATGTGCGATAATAAACGCTGTGTCATCTGAAGTAAAAATCATAATCAATAACGGAAAAAGT